AACTAAATGGTCTTTATTTGAAGTTTCTCAAGAACCATTCGAGCCACAGAATTCGTTTTGGCATCGTTGTGTAGAGAATTGAAAAGTCCATTCAGGCGTAACAACGTTAGTGAGGAAATTTGAATATCAGACACTTTGGTGCAAGATTATGCCAAAATTTCATGTTTTTCGTCCCGTTTTTGCTCATTTCTCGGAGGCAAAATGAGCAGGAACGCTCATTTGTACATCATTCTAGACAGAAATAAATGGCCTTTTGAGAAAGTGAACCATGGATGGGAAAATGTTGGCAGTTTTCTCAAAAAATGCTTGAATTCAAGAAGTTTTATGGGTTCCTTAGGAATACCCAAGGTTTCTTATAGGGGTTCCACATAACTCAAGTTATAAACACCACTTAATACTGGTTAAATCAGTCCACACAGGGAGGACTGAGTATAGCAAAAAAACTCTCTAAATAATTGAATGACTGTAGACACCCTGTGGCCCAAAGTGGAAAGGAGCGAGTTAGCTCTTATGGATTTTCAAATTCTGGTCTTAAATGGCAAAAATGTTCGCGTTTTCGGTCCAGCAACTGGGAGAAACTAAAATCATCTGATGCTTTAAAGCTTTTGGCTCATAAGGTTGAATGACCCTCTTGCTAAGGTGGCAGTCATTTTTTCACTTTAGCTTCATAAAAACGAACTAAATCCTTTCCAAGCGGAAATAACTGACGTTCAACATGATTTGTCCGACTTTGAGCATTTCGCAACAAACGCCGCACGTTCGCATCGCAATTCGGCAATCGGGACTTACGCAAATTGTTCCTTTTTCGGGCCCCAATCAGTGCCGATGTTTATAAACAAAGTACGACTCGAACGCGTGGGCTGATTTCTTCCATCAACACACACACACACACACACTCAAAACGTCAATCGTGTTTTTCAAAACAATTGCATTCTTTCTGGCCGATAACACCCGCTTTATTTAGTAGGCGTCGATAAGCGGCTTGTTGTTACTTTTGCCATCGACCGAAAAACAACATTGTTAAGTGCGAGTTGAAATGGATGGAGTCTGGATGCCGCAGAAGTCGGCCGGATCATCAACTAAGTTTGGGTGATTTATGTGGGCTTAAGGGGGTGGTTTTAGCGCGAAAATGCACCCCTAGAAGGCAGACGAGGGCGGTTGTGTCAACACAATGGGCCATAATCTGTAAACATCGGAAGGCAGCTTGCAAACAACGGTGCTAAATGGACAGATTGACCGCCGGTCAAGCACAAAGCGATCGTCTAATTTCTTTGCCGGATTTCCAAGACGGAGAAGTTGCAAAGATTTATCACCGAGCCCCAGCTGGGCATCGGGGGATGTAAAACGGCTTTACAATGGAAACAGTTAATTCGGTTAATTTTCAAGTTGGATCAGCACGAGACACAGAAAGACGCTGAATCTCAGACGGTTTCAGATCTTGGAAATTGATGAAAAGTTCCTTACAGGAGCTTCACTTCGTTGTTTTATTTTTGCGTCTTATTCGAACTATTCGGCAAAGCCTTTCGACTGAACTGTCGATTTTTCAATGCCTGCCAAAAGTTGATGTTGCTTATTAAAAAAATAACGTTCTGAGGGCCCTATTTTGCAACTATTCCGTTAAAAGTTTACGGCCGCTTAATTTTCGATTGATAACTAACTCGATTGTCCGTTAAACACATAACCTAATGCCGTTATAAATATCGGTCAGCCGCTTATTTTGAAGGGTAGCCTGAAAGCATGTATTGATGATTTTTACAAAAGTTCAATGTTTCATTTCGTTTGTCCACGTGATTCTGCATTCTGCAGTATGGCAAGTTTCAATAATTATAAACAATCTGGAAGATCAGTTTGTTAACGGATCGTTAAAAATGTATTTTTGAAGGCCTTTAACTCTTAACTGAGTAGTTACCGAATAGGGCCCTTATGCTGTTCAAAGTGTGTGTCCTAGACCTGGGTATAAATGAGTTATAACTCATCAACTCAAAGGCGCAAGTCAACACAGTGTTACCCAGGCCACGTGAGTCCACAACCGGTTTAATCGCAGCTGAACTCAGCTGAAGAGAGCTGACAAGCTGACAAAACAAGGTGCCGTTTGGAAAAGTTTGCCAACTTCCCTGGCTTCCATACAGAGTCCCATCAAACAATCCCCAGATGCAACGGGCTAATTAAGTCGCTATCAGCCATTGATACGAACGCACGTCATCCAATGACGCTGGCCACTCAAATCGACCTAGACCAATGATTTTTAATTGCTATAAATACATCCTAATTACATTAAAGCGGATTTTCTCAACAAAAACATCGATAATCGCACAATTCCACAGCCGCGGCCAGTGCCTTATGCCTAATAAATTCGATTGTGGAGATCGAAATTTGAATATTTCCATCCGGGCGCTGATAAATCGTCTACCTTAGAAGTCCATTAGCGTAGCGTCGTAACGAATGGATTTTATTAGGAAGGGTAACGGAATTGGTGATTGCGGGCCCGAAAAATGGTCAACAGGCCTCAAATCAGGCCGGCGGAGAGGATCGTGATCTGAACCCGATCCCAACATGGAACTCGCTTAATTCTAGCACCCAATAACAATTGGACAAGAACAGATCACGATTTCCGGACCTATTAGACTTATATGGGCGTTTTCAATTTGTGATTTCAACCAGGAAAGCGCAATTAAAAACGATCGTGCTCAGGGTTTGTTACGATTTTTCCCTTTCTAGAACTGACAGAAATCACTTGATTAAGACCGCACCGCACGGTCGATTCTCCCAGTGCATTATGCCTCTATTCGCATTCGCGTGTAGGCAGATTTGATCGGCAAAAACGGATAACAGCCCAAATAAAACGAGACCATAATCCCTCATTACCAACAGTAAAACTAATGGAATTGTTGGGTACCAGTCATTTTATGGCCTTTATATCGACATGGAACAATTTAGATCGACGGCCCGATCTATTTGGATCGTTTCAAACTTTTATTTTTAATCGCCGTGATGTAATCAAGATAGGTACTGCGACTCGCCCGATGGATGGTACCCACCTTTCACTTGCCGTCGCACAAATTCGATTGGATTTATTCCGGAAAAAAACTGGATCGGACAATCGGTATCAATTTAACGCCGACAAAGTTGCGTAATTGCCGCATCCCAACCAAGAAAAACACTTTTTAAGCCGTAATTACTTTAACTCCTGCGTAATGTTGGTGCAATCAGGCTTTGCCCACTGTCCAGCCATGTGGTCTACGTCACCCGCCCAATGGATGAGTCGATAGCTGCGCGTTTCCCTGGATACCGGTTGTGTGTACTGCCACAACTGGACCAGGGATGATGTTAGCTGCACCATAGCTATTTGATTTGAGTTGTGCATTCCTGATGGGGCAAAAAGTTGCCAAAGCGAAAAACACTGGGGGTTGGCCTGAAGATGACTGACGAAAATCGGGCGATTTCTTTGGCACAATGAAGATGAAATTCGCTCGAGTGAGGGTGGCATTTGAATACCCCCAGACATAATCCGATCTGTGTCAGAGGGATGGAAGATGTAACGTTTTTCGGCTCAACTTGAAAGGTACGCATTGTGACCGGATGAGATTGCATCGAGGGGTGCCGGGTCGACTTTGTGATTGATCGCAGGGCCGGCTTGGGACATTTCCAAATTGTCCCTCAATCGCAGCTTTTCCATTTTTTTGCCTGTTTGGCGGGCAATGCGGCCCTGCCCTCCCATCGGCCCGTCACTGTTCACATTCGAAAAAGGTATCCACGTGCCCTTTGCACCGTGCCATGCGGGATCTTGCGATCGTCTTACAGTCGCTGGTCTTTTTGTTTGCTCAGCCCGTTTTTTAACGGCCACAACCACCTTGGAACGTGCCAATTCCAACCGAATTTCTCGTCTATCGGCTGAAGAACATTCAGTGGGCCCATCGGGAACCATTCACATACCATTCAACCAGAAGATAGCAAACGCATGTCGCTCATGAGACGATAAATTATTTTTTTCCGCGTTGCAAGAAGCGCGTGCCGTTTCTTCAGTCAGCGCACAATGGGCCGAGGCACTTAAAGCTGCCATCGTATCGGGCAGATGGATTTCGACTTGGATGAGTTTAAAGAGGGCAGTTAATTGAAAGTCAAACTGGCTGAACTCATGAGGACAGGCGATTCTTTGCGACTCAGAAGATGCAACTCTTTCCAATGAGTACCTACACTTTAATGGGTGGTTCCTGACGTTTTGGGCTCAGACTGTTCGTGATAACCAAAAGTGTTGGTGTTAGTCTTGCAAGTCTTTCGGGTATGTCACCGATAGGAGAACAACAAACTACATATTAGAGAGTTTGTTTTTTTGCAATCAGACCAGTGCCGTGCCCGAAGGTGAAAAATCAACATTATCTGCTGCCATAACCAGCAGGAAGCACCCACAAAATGAATCGAATCTTCCCATTAATAATGCGAATTTCGCTTCGAAGCCTTAAGAGTGACTTGAGGCAAAACAGGGGAGTTTGGCTGAACTCGGACCTTCAGGAAACACCGCGGACTGCACAGAAAGCGCCACAAATGACCAACCATTAGCTGAAATCCAGTTTGCGTATTTTTTCGGCCAAGTCAGCAAACTCTCGTAGGTACGAAACAGCCGATAAATCAGCGGCGGTTTTTACGGAAGCGGCGAGCGTCGTGCCAGCGAACTCGCTATACGCAAAAACGGCGGCAAAAAGAGGGGGGTGGGAGGCAAAAAGCGACGAATCAGCGCGCGCCCAGCCGCTCCAAGTAGGCTGTGTGTCGCAACTTGACGCGAAAGTTTTCGAAACTTCAGTCCGCACTTGGCGAATGAACGTTGAAGCACGCTGAGCGCGTCCACAAATCACCGAACGTTTATGCGACGAACGCGAAGTGATCCAATGTGACTATTTCAGTTTTTCTCGTAATTATTATTATTTTTTTTTTGGTTCAACTTGTTGCTAGTGGGCGATTTTTGCCAATAATTTGACAATGAATGGGACTAGTTGAGTGTTGGCTCCTGATTTACCTGTGCATCTACTGGACGATTTTGGTGAGTTGGAGGAGTTTTTCCAAAATTAGACGCAATTAACGACAATTAAACGGTTGAAGCGCGCTAAACACGAAATTAATGGCCGGGGCCTAATAGAAAAAAATACGGATCGAGGTCGCCATCCGAAGAATTGCCGCCGATTATCCTCCGAAATCGGTAATAGAACCGTCAATAATTATGGTTAATTTATGCTCGGTCAAGAGCCCCCACTGCGCGAAACGATTTTTCACCAAACGATGGCCGGTAGTCTATCGGCCAGTTGCCCAATTCGGGCGCACTAAATTGGGCGCAATCATCATCATCATCATCATCATCGGTCAAACTCCATTTTGTCCCCCGAAATTCTCCATTTTATCTGCAGCACCGAACAGCAGGAAAAAACGGCCACGTTTGCCGAAAAAGGGATTTTATCTTAAGTAAACGGTACTATCAGCCTTCTTTTCTGCTTATTCAGTTGCCCGCCAATTTGGTACTTGCCAGTTCCGAGTAAATGGTACCGGCGACGATCTAGAGTGCGTTTGGTTGGCCTAAAAGCTGATGTTTTGGTCAAGTAAGTACCGGTTAAGTAAGAAAGTACCTGTTCAAACAGTATCCATTAGAACCAGTAGAATGTCGAACGAAGCCGCGAATCAGTGAACTTCCGGGAGTTTCTAAAGTGACGGCCGTAAATGTTTCTAGTGGTGGAGTTTTATGGGCTTAACTGCGGTGGAAGTGAGCAAACCTGGAAAATTATCCTCAAAATCCCTCAGGACCCACGGTAGAGGCACAATTTGCGGAATATCGCGAAGAACAGTCGCCTAAACTCATTGCTTTCTTGGGGAAAATATGCGGTGTTAAGTTTACTTAAGTAGTGTCAAGTAGACTTGGTTGTTTGTAAACGAATTAGACTTCTCGCTTCTTTCAGGCCTGAGTAGCTTGCAAAACCCACAAAAAACTATTAAAAACTCACCAAATTAGCGCCATTAATACCATTTTTACGCGTTAGATACTGAAAAAACCCTGATACGTCGGTAGGGTACGACAAGAACAAACAACAGCTTCCCTGGACAACTGTCCCAACCTTTTTGGCAGTGATGCAATCATTGTCGTTCTTTTTCTAATACTTGTCCACCGAGCGAGAGGATAGAAGAATATTAAGATTATTGTCTTAACTTCCCGACGAGTGTTGGCAGATTGTTAACGTTTTCCAAGTTTTCATTTCACTTTACTGCACGATTATGCGGGCAAGCAACGGTTAGTTGTTGGAGTTCCTCATTTTTTTCTTCGATTTTCTTCATAATGTGACTACAGGTTTACCAGCAAGAAAATTACACACTAACGCTCACAGCTCCCGCCAATACCTGCACAATTGAGGCAAATTAATACCGAAAACGAAGAAAGTGATTAATTTTCCCAATTAATTGTCTACAGTCAGCAAATTTAACCTCACTTTTGCAACTTCAAATGTTTTATATGCCGTGGTGTTAATCGGCCCGAAGCGTTTCAGTCTTTTTATTGGTTGAAATCGACAGCATAAACACTGGTATCTTTATCTACAATTTTATAATGAACCCTGAAGATGAACCATCGCCTTTCCCTTCAGGGTTTGCTTGTTCTGCAGTAGCACTGAACTGATCAGTCGAAGCAAACTGTGATTCCTACGCGATTTAATGCGAAATTTTACTGGGAAAACCGTCGGGGAACCCAATTTTCCGAAAATACACTAAACACGCCCAAACTCAGTGTTTTCGTTATCAAACCGCCGTTGCGCCCAAAAAATGATTACTTCTATTCCGAATTCCATTCCACGATGGTTTAAAAGCTCGAAAAACTATTGTCATTCCGAGCATTTTACTGCATTAAACCCCAAATAAAAGTTCCTGCTGCTTTGAATCAGCCCTGGTAAACTGTTGGTGTGC